AGAGCGGGTGCAGCCCTGCCAGTAGACTCCTGCTGGAGGTGACAACAAGAGCAGGTGCAGCCCTGCCAGTAGACTCTGCTGGAGGTGACAACAAGAGCAGGTGCAGCCCTGCCAGTAGACTCCTGCTGGAGGTGACAACAAGAGCAGGTGCAGCCCTGCCAGTAGACTCCTGCTTAGATCCATCACTCTCTATAACTTGTGATGTATTATTACTAACAATTAAGCAAAAAAATCTCTGCTCGAGGAATTGCCTTTGCGAGTGATTTATTAAGAGATTACTTTTGATAAGCTTCATGGAGGAACTTGTTATTGTATGATGTTAAATGAACAAAAAATTCCTTGAAGGGTGTGTTTAATTCAACACATTTAGTATGATATATGGTGACAGTGTCTTGTTCCATTCTCAGCATTTTAACAACAGGTACAGTGTTAAGGTCAATTATTCTCTCTCATATTACAAATACCAAACTCCTTCCTCGTCTTAGTAACCTTGGCAGTTTTAGGACAGCCAAAACTAATTCTGAAGGCTTCGTTTTGTATTAATTTCTAAAGAGGGCAAGAATTTTCTTTAGCTAATGTGAAAGTAGGCACAGCATATCCAATTAAGGATAAAATATAGTCTGTTTACATTATTTTCACTGTTCGTACAAAAGTACCATAGTTGAAGATGTAACCAGCAACATCTCTGAGAGTATTAGCCTATCTTTGCATGTCTTATTTACTGTAGTTGTGGTATGTATATGTCTACAAGACATCCAAGATTTAACGTAGACGAATTTGCTTTTGCAAACAAATAAGTGAGGCGTGTTGTTTGTTTTGGAAGCAGATATTACTCTATTACATAATTAAATCTCATTATAAATGGTACCCATTTTCCTGTGCCCTGTTGTATGAATCATGATGTCGTTGGCATATGCTTAAATAAGATAGTTAAAGCATTTATAAGAGCATAAACACAACAACAAGGGGCTGAGAGCCCCTCCCTGTGGTGTACCTGGGAACTTTTCTTTAGATCCACTTCTAAAACCTTGGAAGAGAACAGGGAAAACTCCATTTGACAGGCAACTTATTATTTAAACGAGGACGTTACAACCAATATTAATTTTTGCCGGTTCACGTAGGATAACTTCTTTTTGAGATATCAAGTGAAGGTTGTAAGTAAAGAGATGTGGTAAATAAGTAGAAGAAAGTGCACTGAGAAAGGTGGTAATTCATTTTGTTCCCCTTCCATAAAAAATGAAGTGAGGATTAATCTGAGTCTCTAGTACCGACTACCAGTCACTCAGACTCATTATTGTGGCTTAAAAATAGGTACAATAAGACTAATAGTTCAAGAATTAAGGAAGACACCTCCAGTGTAACTAAAATTATACAGTGTCAACAATGTGTTATCAAAGACTCGCTTTAATGTACTGATGATATCATAAATTGTGTCATCCTCTCCAGAGGCTGTTATTCAATTTTTTATATAAGGCATTTTTTAACTCCTACTGACTGAAGGGGTAATCGTTGTCATCAGTATTATGGTTCATAACAGTGCTGCTTCAGAAGCTCTGTCACATTTCGTAGAGAGATTTTTTCTGCACATTTTCCACATTAAGACCGGGATAAGCTGTAGCTTATTGCTCATAGGAAGCTGAGGCTCCTCAAGGGAAAGAGATGTAAGTCTGATACCCAGATGTTTACAGGGCGAGGCCACAGACTCACCCAACTGGTGACATTTTGGGGTCCTGCACGCAAGACTTCGGTTCCACTGACGTATTCACTCTGTTAAACAGGAAGGATTCATGTCTAAAAGGTATGCAAGTACTATTATGCATATTTTTTTAATATTTTGCATCTCTCTCTTTAGGGCGGAAGAGCTTGATGCCTCCATAATTTGTACTGACGACCCGGCTCTGCATCGCACTTTCTTTTCCACCAACACGTAGTCGTACCTAACCTACAGGCATGACCTACTTACACTGGTGGATTTGTCCAATGGTGACGTCGCCTCCTATTGCTTCTACTCACCTGACTGCAGTATATAAGCCACTTCAGTCCATCACTTTTCTCAAAAAGTGATGGACTGAACACATCGACTCCAGGCTGAGGGACTAAGCACCTCAAACTCCTTCTGATCTCCCACTGTTATTCTGTATACTGGACTGAAGAAACCACAGGCTGGAGTAACGTTTCTTCAATAAAGATTCCCAAATACTGCAAGAGTCTCTCATTCTTCACCGTAGTCGTAGTATATTTCTTTGCTTCTTCTATTAACTAGGTACACCTAGCAGCAGGGTATAAGGTAATTCCTACCCTAAAACTGGTGTATAAACACACGTGAGCAAACACTAAGACATATTGGAAAACGTTTCGATCCTGGGACCTTGATCAGGTTCCAGGACCCAAGACCTGTTTTTAAACCACACTTAGCAGCTAGCTGGGTTTTCTCTTGACGAAAAGGTACTGATCCTGTGGGTACAAGAGTAACTTAGTATCACGTGGACCTGGTTACTTTGACGATCAAGCCATTTCTCATACCTTCTCCTTCTCCTGTTTTTAACTTCCTGAAATTTATCGTCTTTTCAACACTAGCGTTAAATTGCTCCTCGGGGAGGATCCATTATCCTCATTTACCCGCAGCTGCACGCTACACTGGGTCACACCTCTCGCCAACACACACCCACAGCTACGCGCTACACTGGGTCACACCCCTCGCCAACACACATCCACAGCTGCACGCTACACTGGGTCACACCCCTCGCCAACACACATCCACAGCTGCACGCTACACTGGGTCACACCCCTCGCCAACACACACCCACAGCTGCACGCTACACTGGGTCACACCCCTCGCCAACACACACCCACAGCTGCACGCTACACTGGGTCACACCCCTCGCCAACACACATCCACAGCTTCACGCTACACTGAGTCACAACCCTCGCCAACACACACCCACAGCTGCACGCTACACTGGGTCACACCCCTCGCCAACACACACCCACACCTGCACGCTACACTGGGTCACACCCCTCGCCAACACACACCCACAGCTGCGCGCTACACTGGGTCACACCCCTCGCCAACACACATCCACAGCTGCACGCTACACTGGGTCACACCCCTCGCCAACACACACCCACAGCTGCACGCTACACTGGGTCATACCCCTCGCCAACACACACCCACAGCTGCACGCTACACTGGGTCACACCCCTCGCCATCACACACCCACAGCTGCACGCTACACTGGGTCACACCCCTCGCCAACACACACTCACAGCTGCACGCTACACTGGGCCACACCCCTCGCCAACACACACCCACAGCTGCACGCTACACTGGGTCACACCCCTCGCCAACACACACCCACAGCTGCACGCTACACTGGGTCACACCCCTCGCCAACACACATCCACAGCTGCAAGCTACACTGGGTCACACCCCTCGCCAACACACACCCACAGCTGCACGCTACACTGGGTCATACCCCTCGCCAACACACACCCACAGCTGCACGCTACACTGGGTCACACCCCTCGCCAACAGACACCCACAGCTGCACGCTACACTGGGTCATACCCCTCGCCAACATACACCCACAGCTGCACGCTACACTGGGTCACACCCCTCGCCAACACACACCCACAGCTGCACGCTGCACTGGGTCACGCCCCTCGCCAACACACACCCACAGCTGCACGCTACACTGGGTCACACCCCTCGCCATCACACACCCACAGCTGCACGCTACACTGGGTCACACCCCTCGCCAACACACATCCACAGCTGCACGCTACACTGGGCCTCACCCCTCGCCAACACACACCCACAGCTGCACGCTACACTGGGTCACACCCCTCGCCAACACACATCCACAGCTTCACGCTACACTGGGTCACAACCCTCGCCAACACACACCCACAGCTGCGCGCTACACTGGGTCACACCCCTCGCCAACACACACCCACAGCTGCACGCTACACTGGGTCACACCCCTCGCCAACACACACCCACAGCTGCACGCTACACTGGGTCACACCTCTCGGCATCACACACCCACAGTTGCACGCCACACTGGGTCACACTCCTCGCCAGCACACATCCACAGCTGCACTCTACACTGGGTCACACCTCTCGCCATTACACCTACAGGTCACACACTACACTGGGTCACATACCCACAGATCACACACTGTAATGGTCACATACCCACAGGCCACATACTACACTGGATCACATACCCACAGGTTACACACTACACTAGGACACATACCAACAGGTCACACACTACACTGAGTCACATATACACAGGTCACACACTACACTGGGTCACATACAGGTCACACACTACACTGAGTCACATATACACAGGTCACACACTACACTGGGTCACATACAGGTCACACACACTACAATGAGTCACATATACACAGGTCACACACTACACTGGGCCACATACAGGTCACACACTACACTTAGTCACATATACACAGGTCACACACTACACTGGGTCACATACAGGTCACACACTACAATGAGTCACATACACAGGTCACACACTACACTGGGTCACATACAGGTCACACACTACACTGAGCAACATATACACAGGTCACACACTACACTGGGTCACATTCTGGTCACACACTACACTGAGTAACATATACACAGGTCACACACTACACTGAGTAACATATACACAGGTCACACACTACACTGAGTAACATATACACAGGTCACATACTACACAGGACCCGGAGTCTTACATAGCTTTTCCAAAATCTTCAATCCCCGGTGTCAGTCCTATCATAAGTTTACACTCGTTGTCGTCTAACGTGATACCCAGCATCTGGGTGAAGCAAGGGCCAACCCGGGCACTCTGCTGAAGAAGTCACTGAAAGCAGCGACCTCTACCGTTATAACTACTCTCAAATCTCACCTCCAGATGGCGCCCGAGAATCATTATGACTGCAGGCAACCTGTTCACGACCAGTCATGCATACTTTAATTC